ACTGAAAGTGTGGCAAATGAAGGACAACAATTACACATCATTTCTTGCTGAAATTTTGACTTAAAACTATGTAAGCTTTGCACTTCAGCTTTTACTTTAGAGAGTTTTAAAGGGGCTTAAATTTTTTGAAGTCACATTTATTAATGTAAAACTGGGGCAAAATAAGGATGGCAATGTTAAATCGATTTTAGAGTAAAGTTCAGGTCAAAACTTTGCAAGGTGTGCACTCGAACTCTCACTTTAGAGGGCGTGAAAATGAGCTTCAAGCTTCTTGACGTCGCATTTAATATGCTGAAAATGTGGCAAATGAAGGACGACAATTACAAAACATTTCTTGATGAAATTCGCGATAAAAGTAAGTTTTGCACTACAACTTTCAATTCAGGGAGTTTTAAAAGGGGCTTAAGCTTTTTGAAGCCACATTTCATAATGTGAAACTGAGGCAAAATAAGGAAGACAAGGCAAAATCGGTTTCAGACTAAACTTCACGTCATAATTGCGCACGTTTTGCTCTCGAACTCTCACTTTAGAGAGCGTGAAAATGGGCTTCAAGCCTCTTGAAGTCGCATTTAATATACTGAAAGAGTGGCAAATGAAGGAAGACAATTACAAAACAATTCTTGATGACATTTTGCGTTAAAAGAATGTAAGTGTTGCACTTCAGAGAGTTTTAAAAGGGGCTTAAATTTTTTCAAGCCACATTTATTAATATGGAAATGAGGCAAAATAAGGATGACAATACAAAATCGATTTCACACTAAACTTCGCGTCATAATTTCGCACGTTTTGCACTTGAACTCTCACTTTAGAAAGCTTGAAAACGGGCTTCAAGTACCTTGAAATCGCATTTAATATACTGAAAGAGTGGCAAATGAAAGACGACAATTACACAACATTTCTTGATGAAAGTTCGCGTTAAAAGAATATAAGTGTTGCACTTCAGCTTTCACTTTAGAGAGTTTTAAAAGGGGCTTAAATTTTTTTAAGCCACATTTATTAATATGGAAATGAGGCAAAATAAGGATGACAATACAAAATCGATTTCACACTAAACTTCGCGTCATAATTTCGCACGTTTTGCACTTGAACTCTCAC